CTCAAAGATGGAGAAGAGGGTTGGGAAACGATTCAGATCTCCCAAAAGTCTTATCCCTCCCCCTCCAACTTTAAACTGCAAAGCACAACTGTCAGATTTATTTGCTGGCAGTTATTTAGCTGCTTCTTTGACAGCCTCTCCTTTCCTCCCCATCCATCATCTGTTGCCCTTCTATGTGTGCCTCCTCTGCGAGAGGTCTGGAGGGCAGCAAATGAGAACAGGCCTTTTCTGCGGTGACTCCCCAGTTGAGGAATGCTCTCCCCAGGGATGCTTGCCTAGCACCTTCATTGCATATCTTTAGGTGCCCGGCAAAAACATTCCCAGGCCTTGGGAGGATTTATAGGGGAGTTTATTGTTTTTGCTTGTTGCTATGGTACATATTAGGGACGCGGGTGGCACTGTGGGTTAAACCACAGAGCCTAGGGCTTGCTGATCAGAAGGTCGGCGGTTCAAATCCCCGCGACGGGGTGAGCGCCCGTTGCTCGGTCCCTGCTCCTGCCAACCTAGCAGTTTGAAAGCATGAAGTGCAAGTAGATAAATAGGTACCGCTCCGGCGGGAAGATAAACGGTGTTTCCGTGCACTGCTCTGGTTCGCCAGAAGCTGCTTAGTCATGCTGGCCACATGACCCGGAAGCTGTACGCCGGCTCCCTCGGCCAATAAAGCGAGATGAGCGCCGCAACCCGAGAGTCGGTCACGACTGGACCTAACGGTCAGGGGTCCCTTTAACCTTTACGGCACATATTGTTGTGTTTTTATATTGTAAACTGCCCTGTGATCCTTGGATGAAATTTAATAAACAATAATAATAAATCCCCCAGGACTGACGAACTTGGTTCAGAGGCGAGAGGCATATACGCTCGAATACATATTTCCTTAGAAAACACTTGCCCTAGGAGTGGGTCACCTGGCGGAACAGGGCTGCAGCAACAGCCTCCCTGCAGAAGCATCACTGTCACTTACCGGGGAGGAGTAAGGTGGTGGCAGGGTCAGGGCAGTGATGGAGCCGATCCGCCATTCTCACCGGTGCCGGCCCCAACCTCACAGCAGCCTTGGCCCTCTTCCTCCCTTTAAGCTGCAGCAACACTTCTGCCAGGAGGCTCTTGCTGCAGCCTCCCGCCCCCCTCCCACCACCAGACAGGCAGCTCCAGCTCCTGCACTGGCCCATTTTTACTCACAGAGCTGCTTGCAATGAATAATGCATCGTATTGCAAACAGTTTGTTTTCTGCTGCCAGGTATACACCTTGAAACTCCTTATTTTCTCCTGCCCGCTGTACCCTTCTCTGAGTTTCTCAGCTTTTGGTTGCTTTCTCTGCTGCAGCTCTAGTTTTTCCGGAGGTTCGGAGCCCAGCTTTGCCTCTTTCATCAGTGATGCTGACTTAGAAAGAGAAGAGGGGCTCAACAGACACTTCTGCTGGGTCAGTCAGAGGACAGAGCCATACCTCAAGCACAAAGTCATACTCCCCACTAAATTACCGTATTTTTTTGCACCATAACACTCACTTTTTTCCTCCTAGAAAGTAAGGGGAAATGTCTGTGCGTGTTTTGGAGGAAATGCCTACGGGTGGCATGCCTACGGATTTTCCTCCTCTAAAAACTACGTGCGTGTTATGGTCTGGTGCGTGTTATAGAGCGAAAAATACGGTAATCTGGACAACCTGCCAGGCACAGTGGGTCCTCTCTCCGTGGTCAGTCGCTAAAGTGGGTTCGATTAAAATGGCTTGGGAAAGTCCCTGTTGGTGAAGGTGGCGAGGTGGATAATCTATGTTAAAAGGGGACTAATCTGAGTTAAGTGATCTTGGATGTGCATTGTGGCAGGGATCAGAGAGATTTAGCAACTGTCCACATCTCCCTAGGGAGACACACTTCACACATGAGAATTGGTGCTTTATTAGACCATTCAAAGCCACCTCCTGACTGTTCATAATTGATTCTACTCCCAGCGTGATCAGACGAGTCCATTGTCGTGCCCTGTGGGGACTGCCTGCTATAAAGTCATCTCCCTAGCTCCTGGGTGAACAAGATCTGCATCTGTGTTCGGACATATTCTGCTATTCACTCTGGAAGTTTGAGAATCTGGGGTATTTGGCGCAGGATCTGTTTTCCTGAGAACCCCAAAGGACCATTATAACAATCCTCATTGCAGGAGGAATAACTCTGTGTGTGTAATATATAAAATATATGGGCTCTGCTGTATTACATTAATAGGAAATAAGAGGGGAAAGAGAATAACCATGTTAAAGATTGCTCTTCTGGCAGAGAATAGTAGATTTCATTTATTTCTGTTCTTTCTTCGTTAGCTTCTTTGATCTTTGATCTACATTTGTATGATAAAACATATTTTAATTTTCAATCTTGGCAGCAGAATAAATTATGCCAAGCAAATGCATGTGCAATATATATTTGTGTGTTCTGAGGATAAAACTGAGGACTCCTGGGCATGGTATTTGCATTTTAAATAATAATAAACTAAAATATTTAGCAGGCGGTATTACAGCCTTGCTCCTCTTGCTCTCGTAAAGACGTCTCCATAATCCAGCCCCAGAGGCAAGGTTTAATAAGCCAGGGCTCAGCTTTGGAACCTGTTTTGAATGCCAGAGCTCAGATCTAAGGCATGCCAAATATTAATACATTGGTACTGGCACCCCCTGCTTAGGAGCAAAAGTTTCCTAGCTTTGTCTAAGATGGATTGAAATAGAGAAATATACAAGTGGGACTTCAAACAAAATGGTGAACTGTGGTTGGCTAGCTGGAACTCTGCCCTCTTCCACAATACACCATTCCTTTTCTCTCTCTCTCTCTCTCTCTCTCCCCCCCCCCCCCGTTTTCCATTCCCACCCCCTCCAACCGTCAGCCTGCGTTCCACGACCACTGGGCATGCTCAGTCCTCAATGTGGTAGCCCTTTGATCTGACCCAATTTCCGTACAGAGTGGCAGAGCTAGTCCTGATGCAGGGAAGGTGATGTGTGCCATGCCTGCAACACAGACCTGTTAATGGGATGTGTGTCTATAAGGCAAGGGTGGGGAACCTGCAGCCTATCTTTGTGCAGGGGGCAAGGAGAGAGAAAATAAGGAAAAGGGGGCTGGCATGGAGAGAGAGAAAGAAAGAGAGAGAGAGAGAAAGAAAGAAAGAAAGAGAGAGAGAGAGAGAGAGAGAGAGAGAGACATATAGCTCAGTCAGTAGAGCTTGAGACTCTTAATCTCAGATTGTCCATATTGGTCAAAAAGATTCCTGCATTTCAGGGGGTTGGACTGAATGACCCTCGTTATCCCTTCCAACTCTGATGGTACGTGGCAGGGAGAGAGGAAATGAGGGAAAGGGGGTTGGCACCAAGAGAGAGAAAAGGATACCCTATGTTTTGGCATAGGCTCCATCCACCAGGAGCTCCAGCCCCTATATGCTGCCAGTATGCAGCCCCCAACACTTAACCCTCAAACAAATGTGGCCTTCGGCAGCACAAAGGTCCCCCATCCCTGCTGTAATAGGGAGAGGCTCGGGGAAGTCATTCGCTGAGATAGCTGCTAACTGATTCTACTTCTATTGTAGCTGATGAGCATTCTATACAGCAATTAAACAGACTGTTATAATCAAGTGGTAAAGGTAAAGGTAAAGGGACCCCTGACCATTAGGTCCAATCGCGGACGACTCTGGGGTTGCGGTGCTCATCTCGCTTTACTGGCCGAGGGAGCCAGCGTACAGCTTCCAGGTCATGTGGCCAGCATGACTAAGCCGCTTCTGGCGAACCAGAGCAGCGCACGGAAATGCCGTTTACCTTCCTGCCGGAGCGGTACCTGTTTATCTACTTGCACTTTGACGTACTTCTGAACTGCTAGGTTGGCAGGAGAATCAAGTGGTAACAGTGGTGCCTCGCAAGACGAAATTAATTCGTTCCGCGAGTTTTTTCGTCTAGCGAATTTTTCGTCTTGCGAAGCACGAAATCCCATAGGAATGCATTGAAATCCAATTAATGCGTTCCTATGGTCAAAAAAAGTCCAAACAAAGCCAAATTTGGTACAACAAGAGTTTATTAAGTGCTCTTTAAAGTCACACATACTGTAAAGAGCATTTCAAAAATTGAAGGAACAATAAATTAAGTTTCTAAACATGACAGAAAAACATTTAAAAATCAACAAAGTGTACAGTACATTTTCTAAGACTCTGGTGGACAACTCGAAGAAGGTTCCTCTTCCACTTTTTGCTTCTTGCTGAAGAACCCCCTCCTCAACTGTTCACCCACCACACAGAAATTCAAATCCAGAATTTTTTTTTAAAAACAGCAGAGTGGCCCAATGGTCACAGAAAATCATAAAAATGCAGAAAAAACCACACAAGCTTCCAGATTCTTGCAAACCCTCCCCAACACCAAGTCCTTGAAGTCCAAACACCCCAACCCAAAATCCAAAACCCCCAAAAAGTTTTAAAAGTTTACAAGAAGTTTTGGAAAGCGACAAAACTCACCAACGTCTTCAAAAACCCCCAAAAAGGCTACCACACCGCGTTCTATGAGTTGCTCCTCGAAGTCAAGTCGCAACTGTATTAACGGTGTTAAGAAAAAGGAAACAAACTTGCAAGACGTTTTCGTTTTCGTCTTGCGAAGCAAGCCCATAGGGAAATTCGTCTTGCGAAGCAGCTCAAAAAACGGAAAACCCTTTCGTCTAGCGAGTTTTCCGTCTTGCGAGGCATTCGTCTTGCGGGGCACCACTGTATATAAAATAAATACATAATGGCACCTTGCTTTGGCTCTCTGTAGTGAGGGGCAGGAATCGGAATTGTAGAGTTGGAAGGGGCCCTGAGGATTAGTTAGCCCAAGGTAAACGGCGTTTCCGTGTGCTGCTCTGGTTCGCCAGAAGCAGCTTAGTCATGCTGGCCACATGACCTGGAAGCATGACCCGGAAGCTCCCTCGGCCAATAAAGCGAGATGAGCGCCGCAACCCCAGGAGTCGGCCACGACTGGACCTAATGGTCAGGGGTCCCTTTACCTTTACCCTGCAATGCATGACTGTCCCATATGGGGATCAAACCTGCAACCTTGGCATTATCAATTCCACACTCTTAACCAACTGAGCTATCCAGTGAGCCATGTGTTCTGTGTTTACTATTACAGTGGTACCTCTGGTTATGTACTTAATTCGTTCCGGAGGTCCATTCTTAACCTGAAACTGTTCTTAACCTGAAGCACCACTTTAGCTAATGGGGCCTTCTGCTGCCGCGCTGCCGTTGTGCGATTTCTGTTCTCATCCTGAAGCAAAGTTCTTAACCCGAGGTACTATTTCTGGGTTAGGGGAGTCTGTAACCTGAAGCGTATGTAACCTGAAGCTTATGTAACCTGAGGTACCCCTGTATACAGAGACTTTTGCATTAAAATGCTTGCACTTAAAAAATAATAAAAAATAATGTAACCACTTAAAAAATAATGTAACCTGAGGCATATGTAACCCGAGGTACCACTGTAGTGATGTGCTTGGCGTTGCTCTCTGCTTATGCCCTGTAATTGAAAAGATTTTGGGGCAGAGCCCTGGTGAGCTTGAGCTGAAATTAATCATTACTTTGAGCCCCCCCCCCCCAACCTGGCATTTCGTAAATTAAGCACTGGCCATAGGTGTGTGTGTGTGTATCTCTGTATCGATATCTGCCCTGTTTCTGCTCCATCCCTACTTAACTGCCTTCTCTTTTTCTCACGCAGCCGAGCAACTGAACGGCATCGGAGGTTCGGTGACGGTGCCCCCCGTCCCTGCTCCCACCTCTCCAGATAAGCAGCCCTGTCTGGTGTCTCCGGCGGCAGCAGCGCCCCCGCCGCCCCACTCAGCCCCCTGCCCAGAACCTAGCCAGAGTTCCAAGAGCGGGCAAACCTGGGGGACGAAGGTGGGAGAGATCTCTACGGCAACTGCAGTTCCAGCCACTTCAGGGGCGGCACCCAGTAGCAACGGCAACACCAAGCCTGACGAAGAGAAGGCCAAGAAGCTGTTGTACTGCGCACTTTGCAAAGTGGCTGTCAATTCACTGTCTCAACTCGAGGCCCACAACAAAGGTAAAAACTTTTTTGGGGGGGAGCATGTTTTCATGAGATAGGATTTCTCATTACCACTTCATGGTCCTGTTCAGGGCTCACTTCTCCTTTGCAAAGTGCCCTTGTGGGGAGGTGGTTTGCAGCACAGATTTTGGGAAGTGGGTAGTATTTATCCCAGTCAATTTCCACTTGAAATTAAAGGTAGAGGTAAAGGGACCCCTAACCACTAGGTCCAGTCGTGGCCGACTCTGGGGTTGCGGCGCTCATCTCGCTTTATTGGCCAAGGGAGCCGGCGTACAGCTTCCGGGTCATGTGGCCAGCATGACTAGGTCACTTCTGGCGAACCAGAGGAGCGCACGGAAACGCCGTTTACCTTCCCGTCGGAGCGGTACCTATTTATCTATTTGCACTTTGACGTGCTTTCAAACTGCTAGGTTGGCAGGAGCAGGGACCGAGGATCAACAGGAGCTCACCCCGTCATGGGGATTCAAACAGCCGACCTTCTGATTGGCAAGTCCTAGGCTCTGTGGTTTAACCAACAGCACCACCCGCGTCCCATCCACTTGAAATTAGGGCCACACTAATTTCCACTTGAAATTAGTACCTAAGCTGCTTTTTCTGCTGTAGGATTGCAGACCCATCAGCCCAAAATCTCAGCAAGGATAAAAGCAACTTGGTAGTGGTGGTATGAATCAGGTGAAAATCAAGGGGCAAGGGGGGGGCATGTGCTCCCATTCCCCCTCCCTGCCCCTCTCACACCTTCCCTGCTTTAAAGTTTTTTGCAAAGGAAGGAGGTTGGGCATCAAACTATCATTACATGCATCAGTGTAATAACATGGTAGTTTGGAAAAACAGTTTTATGAGTTGTGTGTTCCAGCTGGTGATAACCAGAGCTGTATAGTCTGCATTTTAGAAAACAACATTCCCTGTTCCTACCCCTCATGTTCTGCACCCAGGTATTCCAAATCCTGTATCAAGAAAAAGGAGATTCTGAAACTCATATACACATTTGCATAGTTTCTTTCCCGTATTCTGTGTAATTAGTTCTAGTTTTGGAGAGACTGGTAGGAGCAAGGAGCTGTGCTCATCAGTACTAGAATTTGCATTCAGCCTCCCCTTTGGCTTCTCGCGAGGTGTCAATCCCCACTTGCTTTCCAGCGGAACTTCAGCGCCATAGCCAGAGTCATTCAAAATCTCTTAGCGCCAATTGAACAGCACACTGAACAGCACTGAAGTGTGTAAATATTTCCTTTAGTGTCTGAAGACGAAGCTTTTGTTTTCTTTCTTTCTACGGTAAGAAATGGTGGAGATGAAAGAAAAGTGTTCCATGTGAAGGCCCTGGACTGGCAGAGAGATGGGAGAGGACGGGCAGATCTTTGAATGTGCAGGATAGCTGATCCAAGGCTGTGTCCATGCTCGGGGATTCATGCGCCCGTTCATGGGTTGCTGTTCCCATGTGTCCTTTTGTGCTTTCAGTTTTATACCTCTGGAATTTTTCTCGGTGTTTCCTGTCCACACTCGTGGGCAGTGCTTGATGAGAAGTATTCATGCTGCGCATTGTGTCCCCTCCTCACAAGTAGTACTTCCCCATAAGTTCCAGAAACCTGAGGCCCATTGTGGCTGTGCGTACAGGTATTTCTTTAGCTCTGCATGCACCTTTAGAACAATATGCAAGTTTTCCAATATACCCAAAAGAGCAGTCAAATATAATTTTAAGATGTGTCTAAAAGAATAGTCTCTCTCTGTGTGTGTGTGTGTGTGTGTTGCTTCAAGCATGGCAAGTATTTGAATTCACTTGCATGAAAGACTGCCAAATGTTTCCTTTGCTCTCCTTTTCCTTTCTCACCTCCTGCACCTGCAAGGCCACATTTTGTTTTAATTTTGAATACAGCTACTCTGTGCAAGAGCAGTTCTGCACAAAACGGCTGTTTAAAAAATAATGGCGAATGTGCCTTCAGCAGCAACCAGCGGGAAAGGGCAGTCTGTATCCTTTCCTTTGGGCTGATGGAAACAAAATAAAAGTAGTGGGGGTGGCACCAGATGCCCCCCCCCCCAAGTGAAATGATACCACATGTGTAAAAACAAAAACAAGCCTGCCCACCCGCACAATGTGCTTCAGTGCATCCACAGTTGGGTGACATGGTTTTATATTTGATTTTTTTATCCTGTATCAGATTATCTGTGCATCCATAAGAATTTAGCAGGGGGAAGGTGCAGACTGCCACTTGAATGAAGACGATATGCAAACACAGCTGCAATTCCACATTAATCTTGTGTGGATGAGCCCCAGATCGGAATAGAACAAGAAGGCAACACCTGTTCTGCCACTGCCCTAGTAAAGGGGGGCGGGTAACCTTAGGGTGGCGCTGTGGGTTAAACCACAGAGCCTAGGATTTGCCGATAAAAAGGTTGGCGGTTCGAATCCCCGCGACGGGGTGAGCTCCCGTTGCTCGGTCCCAGCTCCTGCCAACCTAGCAGTTCGAAAGCATGTCAAAGTGCAAGTAGATAAATAGGTACCGCTCTGGTGGGAAGGTAAACGGCGTTTCTGTGCACTGCTCTGGTTCGCCAGAAGCAGCTTAGTCATGCTGGCCACATGACCCGGAAGCTGTACGGCCAATAAAGCGAGATGAGCGCTGCAACCCCAGAGTTGGCCACAACTGGACCTAATGGTCAGGGCCCCCTTTACCTTTACTAACCTTAGCCCCTCCGGACACTGTTAAACTCCCGCTCCCATCACCTCCAGCCGGCATGGCCAATGATTAGGGGTTATGGCAATTCTGGAACATAAGGATTCTTCCATCCCTGTACTAGTCTTTGCTGATCTTAAGTAGTCTCATGTGCATCTTCTACACCCTGCTCGATCTTAATAGCCACTGCCCTACTATGCCAGAAAAAATTGCTCCATTTCTCCTCCTAGCCCAACTTTCAGCAGCTGATAAAGACACAGGAGCCCTGCCAGAAAAAAAAAGTGGCAACCTTCCTGACACTCCTTCCTCCTCTCTTTCCCCTGCCCCAAACTCAGCTCTTTTGTCTCCTTCCCCCATAGTGCTTTGCAGCTTTGGCTTTGTCACCATGGAAACAATAGCTGGAGCCTTGGGTGCGGCTACAGAGCCCCTGTTGGCAGCCCGTCAGGCATTCCCCACAAAAATGAGCTCACAGGCACAGGAGCTTAAGTTTCCTGTGGAAACCCCTGCTCCCTTCTCCCAACCAACTTTCCAGGTCTGGAGAATCAAGAGACGAGAGCAGCGCAGCAGCCGCTCTTGAGCGAGGCCGTGCCTTTCAGCAAGCTGTATCTTTTTTCGTCCCTTTGCATGCCTCACCTCGGCCTGTATCTCCCTTCCACATGCATTAGCATCTAGTCAAGAGCCACAGTGCTCTGGCCGAGAGGCCGCTGAGCAGCTTCAAAGGAAACTGGAGCCTTTGGAAGGGTCCGGAGGGTCAGAACTGCAATGCCTCAGCAGCAAAGCCAAGGCCATCGTAGCAAGCAGGGTGACCCAAGACATGTTAGTGCCTGAGGAAGGAAATCCGAATGGTGCTTCTCTCCCCTTCTCTGTCCTCCTCCTCCTTGCATAGAAATATATATATATATATTATTAAAATAAGCAATGGATCATTTCCCACCCTTTGCTGGCAGCCAGCATTTGCTGCCTGTAGGCCTACTCTGCTCTAGCCAGCCCTGGCAGGGGGGGAAGGCAAGGCAAAGAGAAGAGCTTTGCCTTCCATTTTGGTAAAAATAGAATAGTAGGGTGTTCTGTGGTACTGAGTCATTACCTGGAAAAACCTTATACTTTGCTGAAAACCAGTAAAAAAAGAAGGAAGGGTTTGTTAGAACAGGGCTGGGCTTAACCATTGTGCCAGCAAGAACAAGGCTCTCGCCTGGTTGGCACCTTGTCTGTGGTATCGAATTCTGAGGCTTATCCCCTAGTCCAGTGATAACCAAACTTGGGTTTCTGGCTGTTTTTGGACTACAACTCCCATCATCCCTAGCTAGCAGGACCAATGGTCAGGGATGATGGGAATTGTAGTCCAAAAACAGCCAGAGACCCAGGTTTGGGAGGCTCGGCTCTAGTGC